CTTAGAGTCAAAAGGTGGCATAATATTTTTATAAATATAGGAGATGTTACATTTCAGATTTGACTTATATGGCTTTTTTTCCTATGAACAACTCATTGCCTCAAAAAAGGAAAGATGTTTAATATATTAAGGTACTTCATCACTTCATATGTAATTTTTTCTATGTAATTATTAATTACTCTGACGACTACATAGTTTATAAGTTTCTGTCTAAAGTACATATTTTTGGTGAAAAAAGGTGATAAAAAGAGGTTTAAGTCAGAGTATGTCAAAAATACTTAAATATTTATGAGACAAAAATATCAATGTCTAATAATATATTACAATTTCTTCACATATTGAAGTACTTTACATTTTATATTTGTTTATGTTTTTTATTGTTCCCAAATCACTGAAGGAAAAAGGTCTGAAACATCTGAATAATTGCGTACTATCTAAACGTCTTGCCAAGAAAACTACTATAAGTTAGCAAAGTCAGTCAAGTGTTCTGCCTTATTAATATGTGAAAATTTCAGATGTGGTTTATAGCCCCCGAATATTAGCAACTTCCCGGTTTAGCTTTGATACCTATGTTAATACATTGAGCTTGAATATGTTAATAAAGAAAAATGATTATACTCCATAAAGGGTGTGTGATTTTAAATATGTAACTAATATTTTATAATATTTCTCTGTAAAGCATAGATCACAACCTCGAAATTAGAATACAGACACAGCAATAAGGTTACTAACCATCCCTGAGGTCCACAAACAAAATTAGGATCTGCCCTTCTTTTCCTAAGTTTTTTTTATTTCATCCTACTGCTTTCTACATCTCTATGTGAAGAGATTATGCCTGCCAAGAACACACTCAGAATTCCTCTGCTAACAGATACTTGTAAAAATAAAACTTCTTTAAAGGCACAAAGAGATGAAACAGCACGTTCTAAAGGCTGTGAAGATCTCAACGTGATTTTTATTTGTCTTGGGCCCTGGCAGCCACATCTGAGTCGCACTTGAATGTCTCAGATCCTGGATGCACAGGCAGTTCTCAATTCCAGGGCTGATGGACTATTTGCATGATTTCATTTATAGCTTTTTAGCGCTACTTCTGATGGAATGTCACCACAAAGGTAACATCCACTTTTGAACTCTGAAGAGGTTCAAAAATCTGTTGGTTCCAAAGAACACTAAATAAGGCTTAACATGTAAGAAAAGTTTCAATTTATTTTTTAAGTTCACTTTTTCCCTACCTACCTTTATGAAGAATTTGAAGGAACAAACAGAAAATGATGTTCATATAATAAAATTTCATGAAATATCAAATCAAGTAGGAGAAGATAATTATAATAAAAACCCAGACTAAAATTCTTCATGGTGATGCAATTAAGATGAGATATTTTCACGGATGCAATCTTAATAGGAGAAAAAGACTTTTCTTGTTATCAAGTGTAAGATTGATCTATTCCATGGGAATATGGAAAGTTCACTAAGAAAAATGAGTATGTAGTAACATGAAAGTGTCTTCAACAATTGTTTATGAGAGTTACATAAAGGTACTTCACTTGAAGTGTGTTGTAAATTATTTACTCTATTTATATAAAGAGATAAATTTTGATTACCAAACATAAAACTCCACAGTAATGCAGAAAAAGAGGTACTTAAAAGTCTAAAGGAATGTGTCTTTATTAGAGGCCTTCAATATCAAGTGTGATTCACATCTTTAATTTTAAAGATCTATATAATTTTATGTTCTAAGTGTTGAGGAGCTAACTCAGTGTTGTTGGAAACATTAACATATATTTTGTGATAGTGGTCCCTTCCTGGAAAATCATAAATCCTAAAGTGTTTCTCTTGAGTAAAGGGAAGATCATCTTTTTTCTATACCAGTCTGAGCTGCAAGACGGTCTACAGGCAGAACCACAAGTATGTTTGAGATGTACTATTATATATGCTCTGGGCTGAGAGTGGTCTCAGTGATCCCAAAGTTACACATAATATCCAAGAAAAAGATCACATAAACTCCCATCTTGGCCATAAAGGAAACTTGACTTTGTTCCTTGCATCACAGAACTAGTGTAAAAATATTAACCTAAAATTTCCACAAAGTACTTTAAATTATAGATCTGGGAACCTAACAGGTGAGATGATTTGGGAATCACCATTGTAAGAGGCACAGACATTTTTAGAGGTCGAATCTAAACAAAATTCCTCACAACCTTCCCAGTACCGTATCTGGCCATGGGATCTGAATGTTCACCATGTAGTGTACAACCTCACAACTAAGTTTTAACACTTGATGGACAACTTTTACTGTGTAAAATTTAGGGAAATTGTGCTAATGAAAAGTTAATGTTAATTCAGCCTCAAAATTAAATTTTAAGAAATCTTGCTCTTATTTCTCTCAACTCACTTAGTCATCACTGAAATATGTGTCTTCCATTATTATTTCCCAGGATATTGTTACTTCCTGTTCAGCACCCATCGTCTGCCTGTGCCGTTCTTATCTAGGTATATACCAGATGTCATGTGAGGGCAACTACAGTTTGTTTTTCTTTATCATGTCTAACCTCCCCAGTATCCTAATCCAGATTCTCACCACTTGTAGGCAATCAAAGAAGGCCAGGTGAATTCAATTAAAGCTGCAGGTTTAGTTGCAGGAGAAAGAAGCCTACATCTAGAAATTTGAATGACGTCAATATATTAGATATTTTCAAAAAAATTTCTCGACTGATCTCTCTTAATGACTGATATTTTAAATGAATCATATATAAACAGCCAAGATATTATTTTCACAAAATTTCTGTTAAGCTTGTAACTGTCACATACAAAAGAGTCTAGTAGAGATTTGCTTACCAAGTAGATTGGGACTAGTGTGCAAAGCCCTTAGGAAGTGGAATACAAACAAGGACACAGTGAGAAGGAAAGGTCTGGACATGGTTTCTGATCAGAAGGCAGGTCTAAGAAAGATGCCTCAATGTGAAAGGCTAGGCAGTCCAGTGGTAGCCCAAGGAGACAGGAGACCTGGGAAAGAAAGCTGGTGAAGAAAATGAAGTGGGGGCATGGAATAAGGGCCAAAGATGCCAAAGGCATGCTTAAACTACTTCCAAACTAGCTACAAGAAAGCCCAGGCTGTTTTTAACTGAAGAACAGCCCAAAACTTTTTCTGAGACATTATGCCTGCTCATTTGAACCCTTTAATACACTCTTTACCCCGCTTTGTCTTCATCACAAATCATATCCTGATGAAAACAAAGCCAGCCAGCCAGCAACATGGAAGTAGAGCAGTCGACCCCACATCTGGCCTTAGCCTGTTTTCACTCAGGGACTGTTTCTACACTTGCTTGAAACAATTGCTAGGGTGAAAGTATGTCCTCTTTCGTAGCTACTCTTTCTCTCCTAACTCACTAGGATCACAAAAGCAATCACTTAAATTTACCAAATTTTATTCTAATTATCTGGGCAAAGAATCTCAGCTTCCACAAAGGATCTGTTCTTTATATAAAAAAACAACAGCAGCACAGTTGAGGCACCTAAGCATACAATTCATCAGGAGCTAGTAAGGATTTAGCCAACACCAGTGAAGAAGGACCACCTGTAACATCACAACAGCTCGCCAGTGGGGTAATACAGTAAAGAGGCTGGTTAAGAGGGTCTATTTTATCCAACACAATGTGCCTTCTGGAAGTTCTGCAGTTGCCCTCTGTGAGTGGTGCCTCAGCATGACTGACTTCAGAATCATCTGTGCAACTGCTATGTCTTTTTGAATTCATACATGCACTTGGAAGAAAATAGAAATTAAAATACAGAACTGGGACAAACTTTTTAGGAAATATGGCAGATGGCTACAAATTTGGGGGGTCATTTTGGATTTTTGGTTATTTACTGCCATCCCTGTTTAACAAATGAATATTTAAGTCAACACAGATTATGATATTAAATCCATATGTATAGATTTAAATATAATTTACCTTCAAGAGAAGGTTGTAAGTGGATTTGTGCTAGAATTTTGTTTTAAGCATTACTAAAGCATATTGTTGTTATTAAAGATACCCTAATAATGCTTAATACACACATAAAAATTGCCACGTTTTATATAATTATACATACTCTTTGGGGCCCACTCTTATTCATTACATAAAAACCACAGAATGTTAGGAATTCCGTCCACAAACTTCCATTATCCTATAGTCAATTTCAGATCAACAACCAGTGACTGCACCTTGACTCTAACATTTAGTACTATTAACATGTAGCATCTCTGCTATGTTTAGAATATTATTTGAGGGATAGCACAAAATCAATATATAAATAACTTGTTTTTCATATTCTGTTTTAAGAGGCAGAAATTGTTTATGTTCATTTTCTAGCTACTTTATAGGTAAGAGTTAAACACTCAATGAAGAGATTTCTGCAATCTTAGACTGCATTCTTCCTCACAAAATAAAACCTTAGCTCAATCCATTCTGTTGTATCTATCCTACCCATAGATTCCACCACAGTGTAAAATTTACCTGATTGCTCTATTGTTCTCTTAACTGCTATACAAATGCTCCTGAACTAGCTGTAAAATGTACACTCTCGAGCAGTAGCTATTGAGTTCAAATTTGTCTCCCCACACATTATTGCAAAGAGGTGTAGCATTGGCAGCATTAAAACACTGCCTCTGAGTGTCATCAGATGAAAGAACCAAGCACAATATTTCCCATTTAGAGGGCTGAGCAACTATTAGAAACAGTGAGGGATTGCATAATGTTTCAAAAGTTTTTCCAGTACTATGTCATTCATGATCTTGAATAGCTAATATGTTTTTAAAATAATGTTTTGAGTTGATAACAGCTTGTGCACAGAATCTCAGAAAATAGAAAATAGAAGGAATCCTTTGGTATGTATAAAGTTAAACTTTAGGCATACTCTATCGCTCTGCTGTAGCTTAGTGCCAGAATTCCCAAGCAGAGAATGAAGGAGAAAAACTATTTTTCCTGATAGCCCTGAGCCACCTGGGACGTAGCATTACTTACCTAAAGATGGGTCTTTGGAGATGTTTCTTCCTGATTGTGACATGGTCATCCATTTAAAGGTGAAGGTTTAATTTCTTCCTGGAAAACCACTCCAGAAATCCAGGGAGGGAATGTAGAAGCTTATCCTGATCTATTGTGCTGCAAGGAGCCCAGAAAGAAAAAGTAGTTTCCTCTTTCTCTTTTTGGGTGCTGGGAGAAAATTTCCCTGCTCTCTGCCAGCTGAGCAGTTTGTCCATAGAGGCCACATAAGACAGGCACGTTGGGGCACTCCCCCACAGAGCAGGGTGTGCAAAAACCACCAAGAGTCACTTTGACACAGGCAAGAGAAGTGCACAGAACTCTCGGAAAGAGAACAAAACAAACAGAAAACTTCCTGCCCCGATGGCACCCAGGTAGGAGCTCCCTAAGTGATCGCAGCCATGTGAGCACTCCTTCCACATGCTGGTCAAGCTCGGAAAAGCTAAGTCCCTCCCTGTCTTTAACACAGGCTGCTCTGAGGCTCAACTTTTTCTTCAAAATAAAAGTTGTACAGCTGGTTCAGCAGTCCCATGTGAGTATCCTCTGAAGGTTTGCTCTGTTAAAATAAGAACTGTATACAAATTAATGAAGAAAGAAGGGCTCAGGCTGTGTGGCTGGCTCTGCTTCAAGAGATGATAATTCTTTTAACAATCTTGCTTTTACTAACACTGAATAAAGCATGGCCACGACTCATCATTTTTGACATTCATAACCTAATAACCTACACTTGGCTGAAGTCGAAGATGCCATTTCAACTGATAGAAGCCCATGTGAAGCTGGCCAGAGCTACAAAAGTTAGAAAAACAAAAATTGCTCAATTCCGTCAGTGACATAGTACCCAAATGTAGCTTTCCAACTAAGAGGGGATTCTGCAAAAAATATGTAAACACAAACACATGTACACACACTTTCTAAAAAGTCCCCAAAACTCCCTGGAAACATAAGGTTTTTATATTATATGATCAAACTTGAATTTATAAAAATAAAAAGGAAGAAAAGTAGATGTGAAAGAGTTGTGAACAGCTGAAAATAAATGACATTAAAAATTGTTTTATTTGGAAGACTTAGACTCACACTGCGGGAACTCTTACTCTAATTACAGATAAGGCAAGTTGTCATATTTTAATAAACTTATTTTGGAGACATTCCTGTATCTGAATAACAAACAAAATTCTTACTCAGTTAATAGTGTCATGAGATTCCAGGCCAGAGGTTTGGCATGTAATACAATAAACCATCTCAAAGCATGATGAAAATGTGTTTTAAATTATACATGTAATAAAAGGTAGAAAACCTGAGAAACACACATGCCTTTAGTTAAATGATCCAAAAAATTAGGAATCAAATGTCACGAAGTAGGGATATGATCAATATGGTCTCAATCTGTAGGGGGTCTTAGCACTCCCAGATACAGCCACAGGAACAAGAACACCTTTTTACTTTCCTCCCAGAAGAAAGACAAAGAAGGAGTAGAAAAATTACAAAAACAAAGTCACTAATAATCACTTTATTGATTATATTGAGCAGTTCTAATAAACAGACACCTTTTATTTTTCTAATGAAATCAGTCTGAGAGAGACCTGAACTAAAAATAAAACAAATGAGTTCTAGTCTTAGTTCTAATGTGAACATGCTGGGCCACTGTGGAAAAACTTCTTGACATATCTGAGTCCCTATTTCCTTGTTTGTAAAATGAGTAATAATATTAATTGAATTCTATGTGCTTTTCAAATTTTAATGGTACCTTAGTGCTATTTCTCAGTATGATTAGTTTGCTTCTTGCAAAGCAACTAACATGAAAGTAATGATGCTTGAAAATCCAAAAACTCCCCCACAATTATTATATAAAGTTATAAATGAGTAAGTCATAAATAAAAAGGAAGACAATTTTATATTATGTATATTTGTATAGATACTGTATATTTATATAATGATGTCTAAGTTAATGTTTCCCTCCCCATCAGTAGCATCCACTTACAGATCGCTAGGTGTGGGACAATGATGATAAGCTGGAGACCATCTATATGCAAGCTGATTTGCAGACCTTGAAGGCAGACGCCTTGTTATAACCATATACTTTGGCTCTCTTTGTATAGGAAGTTACATAAGTAATAACATGTTGAACAGATCTTCTGAAAGTATTTTTACATTTATCACTAGCATTCAATTTCTGTACTCATGGTTTATCTCTATTACTATTAATTTAGCATAAATACCACTGAGGGATATGCTAGGGAATAATAAGCCCATCAAATTGAAAAAATTAACTTTGATTTTGCCTTCTTTTTAATTAGAAAAGTGAGATGAGTTATCCGTTAGCATGATGGAAGGAATTCAACACAAATACTAGTAAACATCTAGCCAAGGTTAAGTTCAAATGACAAGAAAGTATACAGTCCAACTTGAGGCTCAGAGACTTAATTATCAACTGCAGAATCGGAACATTGTTAAATTAATTATAAGAAAATCCATCACATCTTTAATTGTATTAGGTTTATAATCTTTGTGCTCTTAAGTCTAAAGGTAGAAAATTTAAATTCCCATTTACATCAAGCACTGTATTTAAACCCAGTCTTAGAACCTGAGGAGCCATGGGAAAATACCAATAAGTTAAATACTCACTTGGCACAAGAAAAACATGTATTTCCTAAATGTTTCTATTATCTTTTTCTCAGAGAGAGCATTTAAATTTAATATTGAGAAAAATTGTTTTATTAACTTATTCATCTTTAATGTAGTGTTCAATAAAATGAAAGATCCTCACTATTGTTGCTTAAGTTATAAAAACATATTCTTTAAATTAGCACAACTGTACTTACCACCTAATTTTCCATATTGACTTCAACTGTTGAATTTTTATTTATTTATACATTTTTATATAAAAATTTATGTATAAATAACGAGGGCAACTCATCTATAAAATAAACTAAATAGTTTATTACAGTTTTTTTTTCCTGGGAGTAGGGGTCAGAAATGGTGTTTATAGTTTCCAGTTATGGTAAACTCTCATTCAGTATGATCTTGCCTAACATTTTCACCCCACCCTTGCTTGCATGCTCACTCATGCTCCCTCCCTCCCTTCCTCCCTCTAATGCACAAACACACACATACACACACACACACACACACACACACACACCCCTCCCCAACTCAACACTAATGGAGACTGCATTATAGGTGCTCAATAAATTTTTCTTAATTTGTTAAAATGCTCAGCTGAAACACACCAACCTATCCACCATAACTAAATCATTTTGTGTGACAAAATCATGGATCAATTCTCATGACTTTTCCAATGAAGTGGACATAAATGTGCCATGGTATTTTGTGTTAAGCATCTTGGAAAACAGGTAAGCTTTATAGTTTTTTGCATAGGAAGGCACATGGTTTCTCTTTATTACTATATTCCCATTTAAAGCTTTGGCTTTTTTTATTGTAATAGTCTGTTCTCTGGCTCTATTTATAATATATAAGTGCCAAAAACATAGGCAAAGATAGAAAAATCATGTAATCTTAAGCCAGCCCAAGAACTGGAAAATGAATATAACAGTTATCACTTTACCACATAAGTCTAGTCAAATATAAGTCTGAGACAAAGTGTATCCTCTTTTGTTCCAACATTACTTTATTAAATACAATGCCACAAGTTCTATATTTAAGTGAGTTTTAAGTTAGGTAGAGAAGTGCAAGGGAATGCAAGAAAAATAGGCTCATGTGGGAATTTAGGTTTTATCATTATATATGATATAATTGTACATTTATTGAAAGCCTGCTCCTTTGTCTCTTGCTTCTCCACCTTCCACAAGGTTAGAGCTAGATTTGTGTAGGATTAGAGTGTCTCCTATACCTAAATTCCATTTCAGTAGTTCTCGATCTTTTTTTTTCCGACATATCATACATGAAAGATGATGTACACAGGATACTCTTCCAGAAATTACCTAAATCTTGATAAAACCAAAAAAGTAAAATGCAGTCATTGCCATAATTTTCATTTGACGTGGCTATAAATATTGCATCAGTAAAGTGACACATTACTTGGTCAACTGTACCATGAGATGAATGGCCGTGTGTGGTCTAGTTCTGATGGACATACCATACTCTGTCCTTTTATCACAGGGCAAAAAACTATTGCATATAAGTGGGTGAGAGTGGCATTGATTTAAAGGTACTTAAATCTGATATATCCTGTCAAGGTTAGTCATTCACAACCATCAGCATTTTCCCCATTTTTAAACAAATTTTCTACTACATGTTTCCTGATTTATTACAAAGCTAGTTAATACAAGGTGGGGCTGCAATTTGAACCCTGGCGTCTTGTTCCTGAACCCAAGCTTTTACCCCTACTGAATAGGTCGTCATATTGTCAGCAGTCTTCTGCACCTGAGATCACTTGGGTTCTTTCTGGGCTATATGTCCCATTCCATGAGGAAAGCAAAGAAGCAACTCGCCACTCTAATGAGTGTCTTTCCTTCTAACCCTCCGCCCTATTTAAATATCATTGCATTGTTAATTATGTTCCCAATACTTGTAAGAGTTAGCCCTAGAAAGGGCCCACTTACACTGAGGTGAAATAATAATGAATATGTTCTACTAAGATTTGAATGGAAACTCTGTTTTATTAAAAGGAATCCTGGACTAACGTCAAGGAACAAACATATAAATTCCAGCTCTAGAAGCAATTTTCAACTTTCTACTCACTTGTTTCCTTACCAATCAAACTTAAGATGTTGGGCCAGATGACTTTGAAGATCCTTTCCATCTCCGGATTTTTATGACTTTACGGCTGGCCCCATGATAAAATGTCAAGTTACTTAAATTTAGTGCCCAAGCAAGTTTAAATTCTGTAATCATTTTAGCTTTTCTTTACCACACCAGGGTCATCCATACCACCAGAATACTTTTATCCACACTGTGTGGAATTAAAAGTATAACACTCTACCATTCAAATGTGAAAATAAATTGTAGAAACTTTTTTTGCTAACTAAGCTATTTTCCCTCTATTGCCTCAATTTATAACTACCCTCATTGGAATGTAAACTGCAGCAGGACAGGGATTGGTGTCTCTTGTATTCCCTGTGCCTGGTACATAGGAGACATCCCTCACTATTAATGGCATGAATGACTAAATGAACAAAGAGCTGATAATGCTAATGTAGGGGAGCAAAATTTACCATCCCAAGATGTGTCTCTTTGGCATGGGGGTTATTTGAGGTTGATTATTGTTAAAAAGCAGAAGACTCGGAAGCTTTTCTTTTCACCTCCCCCTTAATTGCCTAAAAAGAATGCATAGAGAGCCCATTCTGAAAGGAGATCTATCACCAGAGATAACTACAAAGAATTTGAGCCAAATGCAGTGGACTGGGGAGTCTGCTTGTTTACAGTCCTTGCTGTGTCCCTTTGTCTCTACATGGCATGGCAAACATTTGTTCATGAA